TGTTCAATACTTATTTTACCTGCTGTATGTATTTACAGATTTGCAGTGAGGTCATTTTATACAGTTTGTTTACTTTGATTCATCTGCTTGATGTTTGAAGTGTTTACTGATGTAAACGTAGCTTTTAGCTCAGAGTCTTAGCTTTATATTGATACCAAACATGTCAGGTTCAACTCACAGAAGTAGGAAACAGGAAAACCTGTTTTGCCCCCGGTACTGGGGGCTCGGGGCTCAAGAGGTGAAGAGATACAGTGGACATGATGAGACGTGTGTGTTTAGCACCACAGTAATAATAACTGGGCCATGAGCCGGGCCGTGGTTGGTTCTGTTAGAACGTCCTCCTTCCTGCTCTGTGTCGTCTCTCTGACACGTTTCCTCTGCGCCTTCATCCCCCCTCATGTTGGAAATGTTCCTCAGGTGTGTTGACCAGGTGCAGGAGGCAGCTTGTGTGTAACTAACAGATTCTCCTCCAGCAGCAGCTCCTGGTGGTCTGATGGTCTGAGCTGTGAAGCTCCGCCCCCTGACAGCTGAATGTGATGTTTTTCATGATAACTTGTTCTCCCTCAGGGCTCACAGTCACTCTGTTCATAACACACCTCACCAGCTCCTAACTAGCTACTGACCTGAGCTGGCCTGCAGCCGTGTGTCCTGTACTGTAAGTGTGCCGTGGTCGGGCCCGCCTCCAACACACACACACACATCACACACACTCACACAAACACACACAGACTGGTGTAACACCACTGAAGCGCTGCAAAGACGAGGAGTAAAACTTAAAAAGCAAAGTAAAACGCTCAGAGTCGTAAAGAGGAGCCCCTCCCCCCATACCCAGGAGCGCCTCTCTGTCTCTGCAGGCCACAGTCCGGACCGGACCGGACAGTAAATATTCATCCGTTTAATGCCGAATGCTTTCAGCAGGTGTGTAGGTACACAGGCAAGGAAAACCCGTAGGTATGCGTGCATCGGTGAGCCAACACTCTTCCCTCCTTCTTCTTTTTCTCTCTCTGAATGATGTTAAAGAAGACATGTTGTCCTGCAGTCTGTGTGTCATGTGTCTGTCTTCTCTGAGTGCTGAGTGTCCAGATGTGTCTGAGGTCAGGAGTAGAGGGAGGGCTGCACAGCTTCTGTGTGTTTGTAGAGACCAGTTCAGGCTGACTGCAGGGAGTGATGCACGAGAGGCTGTGGTGGAGTGACTGACAGACTGATGAGGGAGTGTGTCTGTGTGAGAGAGTGTGTGTGTGTGTGTGTGTGTGTGTGTGGCAGAAACGTGTTCGTGTCATAACATGTCACCATGTCACCCATCCAGGAAGAAGAAAAATCACAGCGGGAGGAACTAGAAAAAATCCTGGAGGAGAATAACCGCAAGATCGCCGAAGCTCAGGCCAAACTGGTACGATCCGTTTCCTGTCAGTCCTGTTGGTTCTGAGGGTTCTGCTCAGCTCAGGGTTCTTATAATTAACTAAAACTAAATAATAACAGGAACTGAAACTGAAAAGTCTTTTTAGTTAACTAAAA